GCGACGTGTGGAGATGTCTACGTTACAATCAATCAACAACAGAATATCCGATAAACTCCGTTAAACACAGATAACTCTTCAACAATGTCGAGACTAGTGTTCTAAGTCAGCATTGTTCTTAGCATCTATGACTTTCTAAAGTTTGAATGCCAATCCCTGCCAAAGTTTTCTACTTACAGGAAATTCCCTGTACGTGCCCTGGCAGATTTGTTAATAAAATAGTTTTAGAATTGTTACTATAATTATAATATTATTATTGCAGATAAAAACATATTAGATACGTATAAAATTAAAAATAATATTTTGGAGGGTGCTACATTCTTGTTTTTATTATTGAACGGAGGAGTTGTTAAAGCCTTGACATTTTTATTAGCGTCGTCCAAGTCGGGACCGTAGTGGAACTCCCTGTGCAGCTTCCCGGAGTACAGATCTTGGATGAACTGCTTCAACTTTCCGGGATCATCAATGTCTTTGAAATTTGGGAACAGATATATGTGCTTGAAGCTGTCGATGGCGATCAACGGAAGATCGCTTTCACCTTTACCCACATGGCGAAGCGTGTGAGCGAATGTTTTTCCATCGGCAGTCAAAAAATTAATATTTTCTAAAACAATAAAATTAAAAGAAATTACGATTTTTGTTTAAATTTCTCGAACTTACGCCTCTCGGAAAGTAACTCGCTTTGAACTACTTCATTGTACTTCTTGATGCTCTCATTATCATCGGATTTATGGTAGAGGATAAAAAATGGAAGACCTTCCACGGTAATATCTTCGGCGTTTTCAAAAGTGATTTCCCTAACTGCAGGAACGCATTTATTCAAAATCCATCCGTGCATCTCATCGAAATTATCCATTTTTCCCATGTAAGTGTCATCATCAGCATTGATGTCATTCTTGTCAGGCTTATAAACGATGACGGGTTGCCCAGGCGAATGCATCTGCTCTGAGGCATTACCAAATCCAACATGAAACTGGCAATCATCCTTAAAATTCCCGGCCACCCTTCTGAACATATTGTACTCGTGTTGATCTCTGCGATCAAAATAACCAATGATAATTCGCTTGGATGATTCCAGCTTACTAAGCTCTTTGATGGAATGGAACTCCTTAATTGGATCCTCCAACTGTTTTTTAACGAAACTGACGAAACCCTCTACAGATATCTGCCCTTTGAACTCCCCTTTGTCTGGATGCCCATTCCTTATCACTTTAAAGGTTGGATACTTGGTCAAACGGAACCGAATAGCGATTGCACTTTCTTTATCACAATCCACTTTGGCCATGACTACTTTTCCAGCATCTGGGAAGATTTCAGTAACTTTATCTGCAGCCTCATCGTAGAGCATATAGTTAATCCTAGACCAGTTGACATAGAAATTAATAATGACTAGTTCATTAGAGGCTAGAGTCAGATCTATTGTTTGTTGTGTTAACGTAACAGCACCGCTATTTGTGGGATTATAAATAATATGGGAAACCTGAAACGAAAGATTAAATATTGGTAGATATGATTCCCACTGAATTTGTTTCGTTTTGAAAGAGAAAATATACTTACTAAAATTACTGCTAAAAATGAAAGCCTCAATTTATCTCTAATACTATCCATGCTTTCGCCACCTTCGCACCTAATCAACAAAATTATGCTACAAGCAACAGTGGGCTATAAATCTAGACTATGTTCTGGATTCTGTGTTCAGTATATTTGGATTGGGATGAGTCTCGGGTGGAATATGAATGTTATTTGAAGGTCTTAATCCGCAACCAGTAGTACAGAGTTTATTTATATGCTGTTTATTGTTGTTCTCATGCAATTTATCAATGTGGTGTTTTGAGGCTATTGGAGACGCTATCGAGATGTTATCGAGATTTTCAGCGATATTAGTTCTATGATTAATTTTTTGGAGGCTGTTGCGATATTCGAAGAAAATGTGGTTCGAAGTTCCTATTTTTTCGTAATCAAACCAAATCAGAGTCGTAGTAACCCATTTTAACGAGATGGACTGATGCGAGGCAATGCCCTGATTTAAGCCTGGTGAGGATAGAAACTTCGGCTTTCTTATGATTTGTAGCTCCTCGAATCAGGGAATGGATGAGACAATGTTGAAATAAATCTTCCCTTTTTGGGATCCTATCAGCTCGGGTCTGGAACGCCAGCTATGGATCTGTTATACCGGGATAAAGTTCCGTATAATGTATCTTATCGCTGAGTTGTGGGTACTGTTGGCCAGTTCCTCCACTATCTCGTTGCCTTTTATGTCTTTAAGAGATAAGATCTAGGAGAGTTTGATCTGTGCACCTTTCTCTGTAAGATCTTTTCAGCATGCTCTTATCCAAGTTATCCAACAGTTTGTTCTTATTGTGTCCTTGTAGAAAGAAATTTGTTCCAGAAATCCTGCCGAGTCCGATAGTACTACTAGTTTCTTCCAGTATTGATGTCGATGGATAATGCAGCAGGATTGTCACATCATACAATAGTGTTTGGCCAGATGTGATTTTTTACGCACTCCAGCTCGAAAACAATGATTCCTTGTGGCGCTCAGAAGCAAGAACAATAGTGTTTGGTTAGGTGCACTTGTTTACAAACATCGACACATATAATAAGAAAACAGATATATCTAATAATAGATTTTAAAGCCTATTGTCAGGACATATTAGGGTCAATATTGTAATTATTTTGTTATTAGCGTCTTCCGAGTCGGGACCAAAGTGGAATTCCCTGTGCAGCTTCCCTGAGTACAGATCTTGGATGAACTGCTTCAACTTTCCAGGATCACTTTCACTTTTATCCTCATAATGCAGGGTGGGAGCGAATGTTTTTCCATCGGCAGTCAAAAATTTAATAGTTCTTAAAACAAAACGACTTTTTTGATATTTCCTCGAACATACGTCTCTCGGATAATAACTCGTATTGAATAATATAATTGTACTTTTTCATGCTCTCATAATCATCGTCTTTATGGAAGAGTATCAAAAGCGGAAGACCTTCCTCGGCAATTTCTTCGGCGTTTTCATAAGTGACTTCCCTAACCAAAGGAACGCATTTATTCGAAATCCACTCGTGCATCTCATGGAAATTATCCATTTTTCCCATATAAGTCTCATCATCAGCATTGGACCTATCCTTGTAAGGTCTAAATACGATGACGGGCTGCCCGGGAGGATGCATCTTCTCCGAGGCACCTCCAAAACCGATATGATACTGGCAATCATCCTTCAAATTCCCGGCCACCCTCCTGAACGTATTATACTCTGCTTGATCTCTGCGATCAAAATAACCAATGATAAATCGTTTGTCCGATTCTAGACTCTGCAAGCTCTTTGATGGAATTGAACTCCTTGATTGCATCCTCCAATTGCTTTTTAACGAAACCCTCTACAGATGTCTGATTTTTAAACTTCCTTTTATCTGGTTGTCCATTCCATATCACTTTAAGGCTTGGAAACTTGCTGATACGAAACCGAGAGACGACTGCACTTTCCTCTTCTCAGTTAACTTTTGCCAGGACTATTTTTCCAGCATCTGGGAAATCTTCAGCAACTTTATCGGCAGCCTCGTCGAAGATGGGCATCAGCATATACCTGGCCCTACAGTAGTCCAGATAGAAATTGATAATGACTAGTTCATTTGATGCTAGAATCCTGTCTATTGTTTGTTGTGTTAACGAGAGAGCACAACTATTTGTAGGATTATATGTAATATGGGAAACCTACAAATATAGCAAGCAACAAAATAAAAATTGGGTATTCTCATATAAGATTAAATTATATATTTATATAATTCCCATTGAATTATTTTCATTTTGAAAGAGGAAATGAACGGATTTGAATACAATTGTACACACCGTCCTGGCATAATTAACCGGTTGTTATAGGCACTTATTCTCTAGAAAATATACTTACTAAAATTACTGCTAAAAATGAGTACCTCACTTTTCGGTATCAACAAATTCACGAACGAATTCATGAATTTTGTTGCGTCATCTGGCGATCGTTTTACCTTTAACTTTCTTGCGCATTTCTACAATAGATGCCGCTAATTACACCTGTTTGTTCAAAATTCAATACAAAAATTGCAAGTTTGAATCTCAGAAACATAGTAAATATGTTCAACACAAGTGGAATGTTAAATACTAATTATGAGTAGAAACAAAGCTTCATTATATGAATGTTATTCGCAAGTATATTTATAAATAAACAAATTGGACGGAAAGACTATATTCACAATCATGTGTTGTGTCCAACCATTATTATTACAATTATTATTGTTAATATAGTGTATTAACGAATTACAGACATCCACGGCGTCGTTTATTAGTAACTTTATTATATAAACCTATACATCAGCATAAGACCGATTGTAACATTCCTTCCTATTTTTCAACTAAAAATCAAAATGTAGAATATCCCACGGAAGACAGTGACCGTATTAATAAGAATTGACTTTGTAAATACAATAAGTATTTGTAATTAGTCTTAGTCAATCTTTTAAAGTATCTTCATTGTCTTGGAAAGAACCCCAAGCGTACCAATTATTATAATAAACTTGTTTTAAACCAATTAAATTATTTAATTCCTACAACTGAGACTCCACAACGACAACACCAGAAGAAGATATTCCACTGTGTCCAGAATTCCATCCCTGGGACACGACACATGATAAAAATATAAACGCTTATTGACGGTCACCAAGACCATAAATGAGAGGAGTGGGATGTAAACAAACCTTGATGTTAAAAAAACAAGAACTTTATGTTATAAAATTGTTTATTTATAATTATTGATATTAAACAAATAAACGATTGAAATAATAAAGATGTGAAACAGTTTTGGTATTTAATATTTAAGACAAAAAATTGAAAAGTTTTGAAAACTATAAGAGGAAAATTTGAGAAACAATGCATAATTCTCCAAAAATAATAATGTTCAGATAAATCAAGAGAATAGTTTCTTTAAAATTGTTCATGTTAATAAGATAAAACAGAATAAAACGAAAAAAACAAGAAATACAGTATATTTATGTATAGATATATAATAATGAAATTTTACAAATATATATTTATATATTCCGTGTATATCTCCCAAAAAAAAATCGATCACAATATACCTTCCATTCAACTAATATACCGCAATGAAAACAAAGGAATTTTTGGAAACATATCCAAAAATATTAAACAAAGAATAATCATTATTTCCGTTTAATTTTAGTCGTTATTCAATAAAAAGTACGCTTTATAAAATGGAATGATAGAAATTTGTTTAAAACGTTATTGATAATTAATTATTAGCTTATCACTAATGTTCATTTATAAAATATAAATTACTGTTATGAGAGACGGTGCAAACATTCAATTATAATTAGCGATTTTTGATTGCATATTTCTTATTTTATTTTTGGTTTGTATATTTTTGTTTTTATTTTTTTTCTTTCTTTATTGTTGCGTTTTTCTTCTTTTTCTGCAGAGTACAAGGACAAAGTATTTCGTATTTTTTATACATTTTGATACTAAGTAAGAAATAGATAGGCACTACTATCATATAGAATCACAATGATATGCTTAACATTAGGACGATGTATAATATATTATATAATACCGCGAAATAATTAAATTATTATTTGTTCGTCTCGTGTTCTCTTTGTACATGAACAAACATAAGAATTAAAACAATTTGTGGTAAACAACGAACGTTCTTGGTTTGCGCTTAATTTGACTTTGTTTTCGTTTCTGAGGGTTTATGTTGGAATTTGAGCAGTTGAATATCTAGGCTGGAATCGATGAGTTTCGCGTTATCGGGCGGATCCCAGAAGAACGGGCATAGTTTGTCACAGTTATCACTACTGGCGTTGATCTTCGGCGGTGTGCTTTGGCTCTTCTTGATCTTCGATTTGAAGAAGGTTCCGGCGACGACGTCCGGATCGAGACCCAAAAGTTCCAGCACTTTTCGCGAGTTCTGCGTGATGTAGTTGTGGATGTACTCGGTGGGATCTGTTTGGGTTTCCTTGTGCGATATAGAAGCTATGCTTGGGATGTGGCCGTTCGGTGATGGTGGTTCTTCCCAGTAGAACATCTCGGGTGGATGCGATGAGCTGCGTGCGAGGATTGTGCTCTGCGAGTGATGCTGATGAGGGAGACGGGCGATGTTCGGGTTCGAATGCACGGAAAATTGCAACGACCCATTAGTCGGCGTCGTCATTTCCTGAAGGGCTTGGATGGCGTTTCGCACCTGAAACGCAAAATTGTCAATTAGGAGTTTTAATGTCATCCTTAAAAGCCCTCTTTTTCGAAAGGGTGAGATTATTTTATATGTCTGCAAAGTAACAGCTTAACGAAAGCTTTCTAAAACATCATATTTATAGATTTACAAGAAATTTTTATGGATATTATATTAATAGGTATAAATTATCCATATAGGTACAAATTTTAAATTTAGTATCAATAGACTACATTACAGTTGTAGCAACTTTAATAACTTCATTAATCTTAATTTTGATAGTCATAATAATTTAATTAAGTAACCAATAGAAATTAAATTGTAGCCTAAATCTTTATATAGTTATTACATAATAAATAGTAAATAGTATACTAATTATACATTTTGCCAAGTGTAGAAGAAATAAATAGTTTAATTTTGACGATGTTTCAAATTAAATAAAATAAATAAATTTAGAAATAATACGTATTAATGAAAAAAATAAGTAATATATCATATTTATATTAGTTTCATAACGTAAAGAAGTTAAACATCAACTGACACGGATAGATTTTGGATGGATGATCGAAGTTTTTGAATTGTTACTGGAAATATTCTAGTAAAATTGAAACGGTTTTTTTTTTGAATAAAAAGTTTAAGTTTATATTTTCAGATATGTTCTTGTTATTTAATTATACATAATTCATGAGTACATAATGCAACTTTACCAGCTGATTGTAAGAAAACTACAAATGTCACAATTATATCTCTTAACGTCTTTTAAAACCTATAGTTTTGGCTTCAATTTTGTTATTCAATTGTGTACGTGTTTATCACCGTTATTGAGAAATACTAGAAAAATGTAAAGATAGTTGTACTCATAAAAGTTAATAATTTTTTACAACTTTGACTGCTGATTATAAAAAAAATCATATATGTCACAAAAATATCATTTTATAACCTGTATTTTTAGCTTTAATTTCATTCTTCAATGATATATGTACTCAATATAGTTATTTAGAAATAATACAAAATGTAAAGACACTTGCGAGATGATTACAGATGAAAAAATAATTATATTTTTTGTAATCATAGATAAGTATAAACATTAATTTTCATAAATATTAATTAAATGTAATGATTTTGAAATGACATGTGTACTCATAAAGTTTTTTTTTACAACGTTTACAGCTGATTATAATAAAACTATACATGTCGCATATATATATCTTTACAAATTCTAAAGTCAATAATTTTGTCTTTAATTATTAGCTTCAATGATATATGTGCTAATCATAATTCTTGAGAAATATTACAAAATGTAATGACAATTGCCAGTTGATTGCAGATGAAACAATTATTATTATTTTTGTGTTTTGATGAGTACAATAATTTATTTTCCTACATATTAATTACCTTAAAATTAAAATGTAGCGTATATAATTTGTAAATGATACTTATATTCAAAAAGTTACTAAGAAACTGCATAGTTTTTTTTTATAATTTGACAGCTGATTTTAAGAAAATCATACATGTCTATAGTTTTTTCTTTAATTTTGTTCATGAATGATATATGTGCTAATCATAGTTCTTGAGAAAGTCAAATGTCAATTGTCACGCTTCATTTTTTGCTAAAAGGCATAATGAATTACTTAGATGCTTAAAATTTGGAAGTACATCAACAATGAAAATAATAATAAAGAAGTTTGAAATACCTCAACACTGAGTGTAGCAACATCCTGATGTAGAGCCATCAGATGAGAATCGTATTTTTCATCGTTCGACCTTTCGACGTCGTTTTTAAACTCGTTGTCGATGTCTTCCAGGGATCCAGTTTTGCTTTTGTTGGGCATCACCACGCTCCTCTGCCGCTCCACGCGTTCCCTCAACAAAGCCAAGTTGCTGGTAGCAATTCCGCCGATTCGCTGCCTGATCCTGGGATTCTCGTGAATTTCCTGCATCCTGTTGGAAAATAAAGGAAATCAATGGACCCAGTGTTTCTATCTTCCGCTCTTAGAATACCGTTAATGTGAGCAAACACAAAGCGACTGTTAAACAATAGATTTAGGGTCAAGGCACCAAGCAAACTCAATAGGTGATTGTTCCTAGTTTGGATCTGAGGTTCTCAAACTATATCTGTCACCTTCTGTGCTCTCAAAAATTAAACGGCAAATTTTTTATCTAATAAACAGTTGTATCACAGTACAACAACAAACAAATAGGGTTGGCAAAAAGGTTGAAAAACACTGGTTTAGATTATGGTTGACTTACTTTAAGTTGAATTTTGCATGCCTCGGACTGTTCGATGCGACGTGCAGAGGTGATCTGTTCGGGGATAACGGCGTGTTTTCGCCGTCTTCGTGCATGTTTTCATCATCTTCGCTGATTGATGGCAACGTCAGGGATGGTAATCCGTTACCCTCGGATTCCTGCTGAAAGTTGAGAAAACAGAGCATGTAGTCTACTGAGTGTGCATTTCTTAAAAGCCTCTTTCCATGTAAATCCGTTAAAAGCCTAATGAAAATAGATGCGGCGTAAGAAAGAAACAAAAAAGTAAAATTTGTGGAAGAAAAGAAAGAAACTCTAAGCTTTTCTTTCAATATAGAAACTTCTTCTTAGTTTATGAATGTTTTGTAAATATCATCGATTTACATAAAATCTAGTATAATTCTTTAAAAACAGAACGATTATTAAAAAAAAGCTCGTAGATTCATTTACAAATTTAAATTATTGGAGTAAAATAAGTAGTTTTGAATATAAGATCAAAAAATGAAAGGAAAAATGTAATTACAAGATGCTCCTTTGAACTTGTCAAAATCGCTCGAAACCCTTAAAGCGACACGTAAACTCGGCGTTCAAAGATACTGAAAGGTTACACAGAATCGAACTTGGTTGAAATAAAGAGTAGAAAAGAAGTAAATACAAACTACAACGATATTCTTTTGAAGACAAGAACAAAGCTCGTATATAACTTATACAAATTTATTTCTCATCTATCCACAACCCCTTTTGTATATCCCTACAACTCCGTTATTCTATTCCAATCTCATATTCAATTATTTTCAATATTCGCGGAACAAAGGCGTTGTACGTTTTAAATTGGATGCGGAATGTTGGAATAGCTATGGTCTCGTCAGCAATGAAGCTCTCATGTTCTGTACTCCATACGTGGTTTAATTACGTCCTACAAATTATTCCCATGCTCTGTATAATAAATATTCTATTACACCAATAGATTTAATATTTTATTATTTAAGGTATTTTCAGAATTTCTCTTTTTGACAAAATATCTATTGTCATACTTTATTACAAAACTTTTCAAAGTTCTAAATTTTCTCCAATTTTTTGCTTTTTTCGTATGAAAAATATTCTATTACATCAAATCTCAAAAGTCTCGGTTTACGAAAAAAAGTCTCAAAAGAAGAAACTCCTTGGATTATAATATTTTTTACATGGATTCTTATAGAAAATTGATTTAAATTATGCGGAAAGACCGCAAAAACAATTTGGTTTTCGAACAATCAAATTCGGTTTTCGAAATATTCGACAAATGTAGTTGCATATAAAATATAACTAAATATTTTAAAGATATATTACTTTACTAAATATAAACATTATCTATTAGAAAAATAAATGAATTATAAAAATATGTGTTCAATATTTCTCATTTTAAAGTTAGATTGCAAGGTTAATTAATGAAAGACTCGGTTCCCGAATTTTTAACTAATTTTGATTTCTTTGGAAATTTTAACTCTTCAAGAATTCGGTATTCAAACATCCTTAATTATAGTATTATATTCAATGTACAAAGTTGCACTGTACGTTATTTTCCAATTAACTAGTAAATTCAAAAAAATATTATTATAAAATTTCATCTTCTTGAAAAGTACTCATTTCTAAATTTTTTTCTTTTACAAATTTTTCTTAAGATTTTCTTGAAAAATAAATATTAATGGATTTAATAATTTAAAACAAAAAAAAACTCATTTATTCCCATTTTCTGCTTGTCAATTCATCAATTATATCAATATATACAATACCTCATGATAAAACATTACATTTAATGTATTAATTTTCAATTACAAAACTTTGTACGTCGAGAACAAAAGCTTTTAAGCCGAAGTTGGAGTTCACATTGATAAGTTTCAAAGCAATAACAATTTCTTTCTATTACAATAATTGTAGCAAGAAAATTACATTATATAACAATGAAATTGGACTTTCAATTGTATATTTTTATAATACAGCGCATTACATAATAAATATTGTATGGGATTGTTAACGTTTCGATCCTTTTCAATTTGAGTGTTTGGTTGCATCTTTTGCTTTGGCTTTTCTACGGTTTGCTTTCGGAATATTTTATGTAAATAGCGCGGGATTTTCAAGATGCAAAAATTGAATTCGAAGAAACCAACGCCGAAGTGCATCATCGTGCAAATATTGTTAGTGCGATGCAATCTCGTTTATTCTCCCCTATCAAACGTCCAATATACTTTTTTTCATCGTGATTTTTTTCGTTTCGTATCTCTCCTTCGGTTTGCTTATTTGAGCTTAAACATTTACAGAGCGTACGAGTTTCCCTTTGGGGAAAAACTGAATGCTTCCTTCACCTATGACCTAACCTACATACAATAGTAGTTTCATTAGCTTTGGTTTTGTATTTTTCTACTAAATTTCATTAAATATTAACAATTGTAATGAACGTAAAATAAATGTAAAATTTTCGAATTTCATTTTATAAATGTTAATAATTTTATTTATTCTTAATATTAATTATTTCTAATATATTTTAATGAGAAATATGTGTTTTTTTTATATATATTTTCATTTAATTAATTTGTTATCAAATAAAATAATACTGTAAATATAATCAAAGACAACAATAGTGAACGTCATTTTGTTTGCAATACGTCAATACCTCATATAGTACAGTTTTAATCAGTTCTGATTCACACGGTTTTGAAAATTTAAAAAAAAACGGAAATAAATTCTAAAAAATTAGTACACAAAAATTGTTTATTTTTGTATTCGTTGATTAGTCCAGTTATAAACAGTTAGGAATAATTGTATAACCGATTACCCATAATATGATAGGTAATACAGCTTCGATCATCCGGATTCATTCGGTTTTGAAAATTAAAAAAATTAAATTAAATCTAAAAAATTAGTACGGTTCCAAACAATCCGGTATATTAGTAGAACCGATTAGTGATTCATTCGGTTTTGAAAATTAAAAAAAAAAACTACAAATAAATTCTAAAAAATGAGTACACAAAAATAGTTTATTTTTTATTCCTTGATTAGTCCGGTTCCAAAAAGTCCGGCATATTAGTAGAACCGATTACCCGTACTATGAGAGATAATACGGTTTCGATCAGTCCGGATTCATTTGGTTTTAAAATAAATAAATTCTAAAAAAATTAGTACACAAAAATAGATTAATTTTTGTATTATTTGATTAGTCCGGTTTTAAACATGTATTATATTATAAAAAATATGATTTTTCTTGCAATTTTTATTTAAAATTACTGAACAGAAAAGTTTTATTAATTGTAAATTAATTTATTAATTATAATATGAAATTCAGCAAGTAATTACAAACGATGGAAATACATTAAATTATGAATCAATTACAATGTTATTTATCGAATATTCAAATTTAATTAAATGTTGAATTAATGTAAATTGATTATTCTGCTTGTAATATTTATGAAAAAACGTTTTATTCCTGATACGGATTTCCCTTAATCGTGAGGCATTTGTGAGACCATAACTTTTAAAACTGGAAAAGGGAAATAGGGCGGAGATGTACCTTTTTCATACTAACTGAAGATTTTTAAAAGTACATCACGTCATTTTAGAGTAATGCGTCAAAGGATTAGTCTTTCAGACGCCAAGCGAGTAACGGTTTTCAAAAACGTTCGTCGATAGTTGTTTCTGATATTTTTAATATCTGTGCTTATTCATGTGTCGTGTAGTGCAAGTTATTCTGCATCAATGTCTTGATTTCATCATTATCACTAGCAGAACTTTAAGGCTGAAATCATCAGCTCTAAACTTAGAGAATTATGTTCCTAAAGTTAAAGCAACTAAAGAATATATCTTAGTTATTGCTTTAGTGGCATTTTTGGCTTTACAGTAAAAGTATCAAAGTCTAAAACGTACTTTGTTTTCTTCCATCTTCACGAGTATACTAAATATGTCAAACCGAATGATGGTTGAAATCTCATTTTTTAGTATATATACACTAGTTCATTGTTTTCCATAATTCTGATATATTTAGGCATCGCCAATGGTATTTAACGAAACTCGTCAGGAACTTTCCGGATAACTTGATTTATAAATTAATTACTAACGTTATATTTAACGGAGTTTCTTAGACGCCACGCGAGTAACGATGTTACGAAATGCCGCGCGAGTAGCGGAAGTTTAAGGACTAATGGAAAGAAGATTCTACAAATATAATTACCTCTGCTTCGTATCCTTCTCTAACGTTGAAGGTGAGATCGTGCTGGATATCGTTTGCAAACTCCTGTTGATATTCCGGGTAGAGGCGAAGGACCTCGACGAGTCCCAGGATGTGAATGCACTTCAGATCGCAATAGGTCAGGGCTCTCACATCGCTGCTCGATTTTATTATGATGTCATTCGCACCACCTGCGCCGCCTCCGCTTGAAGGGCCGTTCGTGTTATGCTGCAGATGCATATTAATATCACTGCCAACCAAATCACCCTTCCCTTGAAACAAAAAAAAAAGAAGAATAACAGAAAATAAAAACATTGAACTAATTATCGATGGATTAAGAAAAGATGTTACAAGAACAAGAAAAACGTGAAACATTTCCTAACGATGTTCCTAAATTATTTACAGTGCAAATAATGCGGTAAAACGCTTCAAAATCTCTAGAGGCAACTTGTCTGCACCGCACAACGGACGGACACGGCAAACACATTACTACCACATTTATCCCATGAGATTCATCGCGGAATTTACCCGAGACATAATTATCTAATATAAGGTATTATATATACAAATATAATATAGGAATTAAATCAATTTGAAATTATATCTTTTTTTTTATTAAAATACAATTTAAATTTTATTTTTAAATAATTCTAAACGCAAATATCAAAATGATGCTGTAATATAGGGTGTCCCAAAATTAACGCAAGATTTGAATTTGCTGCCATTTGTGCAGTAAAGTGTTGGCAACCCCAAAAAATAAATAATTTGACAGCTGAGATGTTAGGGTTAGTATAAATTGAATGGATTATTGAGCATCAACAAGTGGATGCTGATTTTTCGAGCAAAATCATCCTAAGCGATGAAGCACATTTTGAGGCTGGTCAAGCAGTGAATGTCACTGGTGCTCGATATAGCGACATGATAACACACTTCTTTCTGCCTCAGTTGGATGATATTGATATAGATGACATGTGGTTTCAACAAGATGTTGCCACATGCCATACAGCCCGTGAAACAATTCAATTACTGCAAGAGACATTTCCTAGTCGTGTACTCTCTCGTTTCGGTGATCAGAATTGGCCCCTAGATCTTGTGATTTAACACCATTAGATTTCTTTTTATGGGGTTATTTGCAGTCTAAGGTCTATGTCAACAAGCCCACAACCATCCGTGCATTACAGGAGGAAATTAAAAGCTGCATCAACAAAATTCAGCTACATTTATGCAAAATGGTCATGGAAAATTTCGATAAAAGAGTGCGTATGTGCCAGCAAAACTGTGGAAGCCATTTTCCCGATGTGTTATTCCATAAATAACCCTATCCTATGTATTTTATAATTCAATAAAAAAATCACAACCTGAAGACTAAAAAACTGTGTTTTCTATTTAATACAAATTTTGCGTTAATTTTGGGACACCCTTTAAAACGTGAAAAATAAACAATCTAAAGATTATATAATTGATCTTTTTTTAGTTTTATTTGTAATGCAAATATAAACAGGTCTCTTTTGGAAATTATGTAATTCTTATGGAGAAATTGTTTTCAATTGTGCGGAAAGATATCAGTTTTTGAACAAAAAATCCAATACTAGTTTTGATTTCGACACACAAGGTTGCACTATTATTTCTCTTGAACAAAATCAGAATTTTTATATATAGTAATTTATAGTAAAAGTATAAAATACCGGTAAATCTGCACATTTAACAACTTGGTTTTAAGTAAATGTGTACTTTTACCTTAACGTATACATATACAAAGATCAATTGTTGCGTAAAAGGACATTTCAAAATTTATATAATTCTCATTTATTTTTCAGAAAAAAAACAATTTTGTAAATTATATAATTATGATAAAATGGAATTACATTAAATTATTTGTACTCATATTGAGTATACGTCTCAGATATTCTGAAAAAATGATTAATACAACTGTTTCATCTCCTACTTTTCAAAGCGTTATAAATCTGCTTCATCTTTAGTTTCTTTTTGTCTTTTTCAACCTTGGTTAGAAGACAAAACAAATAAAATTAATAATGTAATCATAATATTCTTATAAATTACATACTAATACTCTTACAGATTACTATAAAAATGATCTAAGTAATGTTTTCCAAAAGTTTGAAATTATGCTAGTGATTCTTAAGATCACCTTGAAATATTACGTTTTCCAAACCAGAATTAAACTCATAAAATTATATTATTTTGTTTTTTTATTTTTCATCCTGAAAATATATTTATTTTATTGAACTGAATAATAATTTGTTTAGTTTTAGTTTTGTTAAAAGAAGGATCTGATTAATAATTTGTCACTTTTTTCAATAAGAGATATTTGTAAAATTAATTAAAACAGGAAATTTGGTATTACATAAAAAATATTTTTTATTTTTAAATTAAAAATATACAGGTAAAAATGCATTATAGTAAATATCACAAAATCTGGAATTTCATTAAATAATTTGTACTCATATTGAGTATAGGTCTCAGATATCCTACTCCTACACCTTCATCTCCTACTTTTCAAAGCGTTGTACATCTGCTTCATCTTTGAATTCATCTTTGGTTTCTTTTTGTCTTTTTCAATTTTGGCTATGTTTTTGTTATTTAGCTTCAGAATAACGGATGAAGAAGATGCATGTGTTCTGGCGATACGTTTCGTTTTGTCTTTTTCCACCTCGGTTAAGTTGATGTTATTCGTCTTCAAAGCAACGGATGAAGATGCATTTGTTCTGGCGATACGCTTCGGCTTTGTCGGGGCATAATTTTTCACTTCTGGTAGGACTATTGTTCCTTCTGCATTAATTACCTCCATAGGTTTTTGAGGTTCCTCTTCGCTCCTATATAAAGTTATATAGTTCTCTGAGCAATCAGGGGGTGCTAAAAGCATCACAGCCAGCTCTAAAGTCGTCAACTTAGGATACATGGATGCCATCTTGTATATACAGAAATTTCGATATAATTTACTTAGGTCCACTCACGTAGGCTTTCAGAACACAACTGATAATTTTTACAAAAAAATAGGTAAAGTTGATTTTTACCTGAGACAAAATAAGGGTAGTGATTAATGAGGTTTTATTGCAGTTTTCTGGAAATTAATATTGAGGGCAATAAAATTGGAAAGTTTAGTTTATATTACAGATTCAAAATTCCAAGAAGAAACAAAATTTCAAAACATATTCATTTACATATTATTTATTTCTCAAACTTTTTTTTTCAGACTCAGTTTTATTCTTACATTAATAATAATTAAATTATAATTGAGCTTATCCCAATTTCAAATAGTTTCTGATATATTTTTATATTTTAACAGACAGTTTTCATTAAATTTAATGTTTTTGTTATTATAAGTTCACATCTCGGGAAATTACACTAAAAGCATTCTCTGTTAACTGCTCATTAGTATCTGTCTATTTGCATATTACTAAGATCATTTCGCATTCTGTTTGTATCTTCAAATACATAATATTCCTTAATTCGTGCTAAATCTACTCACATTAAATATCCATGATAAACATACATATTTTATGTAAACTTATTATATATTACCTTTAAATTAGTTACAAATTTACTTACACCCAATTTGATAAATGTGTACATTTACCAGTATTTTATACATTTACCTTAACGTATACATATACAAAATACAAAGACCAATTGATGCGTAAAAATAATTCAAAAATTATATAATTATACATTTTTAATTAAGAATTGATAAAAATTGAAATAGAAAAAATATAAACAATAAATGAAAAATGTGTAGAAACATACATATTTTTTGTAAGTAACTTTCATAAAAGAAAAATTGTCTAAAGTAATCTTTATAATATTTCGTATTACAATCAAAATTAAAGCAAAATGATATAAAAAACGTTACTTTTCTGACACTTCGTATAAGTAACTGAAATTACAATTTTGTAATTTGTGCGCTGAGGTAGGAAAGTAATTACAGAAATAGAAGGACGAGGAAACGGCATAGGGGAATTATATGAAATGGATGAAATATGTATACTATCCTAGCTGGGTGTGGTGAAGCAGTGCAGTCACAAGAGAATTAACTCTAGTAGAATTAGAAAAGAAATGGCGTTAGAACATGCGCAAATACATACGCATGTAAACATGATATTAATCAATATTATTAGTTATTTCTATGTATTAACAGATATTTTCATAATAATTATAACATTTTGTTTTTTTTGTTTTATATAAACAAAATATTTTTCTATAAAATTTTATTGTTTAAATTATTATAAAAAATATAATAAAATTTTGTACATTAACAATAATTTTTATTAAATTTATATATTAAGTTGTGTATAGTTGTTTCGTCTAAAAAAATGCATGCTTGCATAAATATTCTTTGCATATTTTAATGTATAGGGCACAATAATATCCATATTTATCTATTAATTTAAAGAACGAAAGTGTAATAAAATATGGTTTCTATTTAGAATTGTAAAAGATAATTCATGGTGATTATTAAATTTTATTAATTGTTAAATAATTTAAATGTAATAATTTACATAAAAAATGTTTGCTTTTAATTATCATAGATATTTAATGTGAGTATATTTAGCACGAATTAAAGAATATTATGAATTTGAAAATACAAACAGAATGCGAAATGATCTTAGTAATATGTAAATAGACAGATAAAATAATCTGACAAATAAATAATATATAAATGAATATATTTTGAGAATTTTCTTCTTGGAACAAATTTTGAATCAGTAATAAAATCTAAACTTTCCAATTTTATTGCCCTCAATGTTAATTTCCAGAAAACTACAATAAAACCTCATTAATCACTACCCTTATTTTGTCTCAGGTAAACATCAACTTTACCTATAAATGTAATACTTTTTTTGCAAAAATTATCAGTTGTGTTCTGAAAGCCTACGTGAGTGGACCTAAGTTTCTGAGTAAATTATATCGAAATTTCTCTATATACATGATGGCATCCATGTATCCTAAGTTGACGACTTTAGAGCTGGCTGTGATGCTTTTAGCACCCCCAGATTGCTCAGAGAACTATATAACTTTATATAAGAGCGAAGAGGAACCTCAAAAACCTATGGAGGTAATTAATGCAGAAGGAACAATAGTTCTACCAGAAGTGAAAAATTATGCCCCGACGAAGCCGAAGCGTATCGCCAGGACAAATGCATCTTCACCCGTTGCTTTGAAGATGAATAACAACAACCTAACCGAGGTGGAAAAAGACAAAACGAAACGTATCGCCAAGACAAATGCATCTTCTTCATCCGTTATTCTGAAGCCGAATAACAAAAACATAGCCAAAGTTGGAAAAGACAAAAAGAAACCAAAGATAAATTCAAAGATGAAGCAGATGTACAACGCTTTGAAAAGTAGGAGATGAAGGTGTAGGAGTAGGGTATATGAGACCTATACTCAATATGAGTACAAATAATTTAATGAAATTCCAGATTTTGTGATATTTACTATAATGCATATTTACCTGTATATTTTTAATTTAAAAATAAATAATATTTTTTATGTAATACCAAATTTCCTGTTTTAATTAATGTTACAAATATCTCTTATTGAGAAATTACTAATCAGACCCTTCTTACAATAAAACTGAAACTAAACAAATTATTATTCAGTTTAATAAAATAAATATATTTTCAAGATGAAAAATATAAAACAAAATAAAACTCGTAATATAATTTTGTGAGTTTTATTCTGCTTTGGAAAATTTCTTATTTCAATGTGATCTAAAGAATCACTAGTAAATAACAGCATAATTTCAAACTTTTGGAAAACATTTTTATAAATATCTGTACTGCGAAGAGTATTAGTATGCAATTTATAAGAATATTATGATTACATTATTAATATTATTTTTTTCTTTCCGCAGTCTACCGTATTTTTCGGACAATAAAACGCACCTCAAATTTAGAGACAATTTATTGAAAAAGATATTTTAATAAAACGTTCCCAAAATTTAAATCCATTTTTCTATGAGAAGGTGCGTCTTATAGTCTGAAAAAATAGGTATTTTTTGGAATCATTTTTATTTTGAGTAGTTTTAATTAATGTTTGTCTATAGAAATAATGTTATTATATACTTTGTAATATGTTTTTATAAAATAGTATAATGTTGATTGGTAATCAAATGAAAATAGTAATAATCTTGATGCAAACCATAAATAATATTTTTGGAGCAACAATTATTTGCTTCTTTACGTCGTTTTGAAAATTATAGAGTAAATTTATAGAAAAATGAAGTACCATATTATACCAAAATATTTAGGTGCGGTTCTTGCTGCAAAAAATCTGGCCACCCCTAATATATGTAATTATTTTATGAAAAATACTTTCATAGAAAAAAGTATTGCATAAGTTTTAATTAATAAATAAATGAAACAAAATAACAATAAATAAAACATAGCAAAGCATTGAAATTATATAATATATTATAAAACAATGTTTTCCATTAATTACGCGTAATGGAAATACGGTATAACAATAGACGTTATATAATTATAAAATATTGATGAATTACCAAAAAAACTGAGTAAGCAATTTAAAATCGCGTACGGCTCAATATCGGGGGATTTAATGGAGCATTTGAGCTGTTATTGGGAGATGATCATTAATGGGAACGGAAATATATAAATCGCGGAATAAAAGGGACCCCGAGATGAAACCGAGAAAAGGGTTCTGAGCGGAATAGGGGAAAAGTTAAATGGAATCAATTAAGGGTGAGAACAATCGGGATCGGATCCGATCCGGAGGTTTGGATGGCGTTGAATGAGAAAATGAAGAAGTGAATTTAAGAATTTACGCATTTCTGATGGTAATTACGAACTGGAATATAAGCACGTAATTGCAGAACGTCGGTGAATTGCGTAATTATGAATTTAAGAGAGTAATTTTGTATTGTGGAGTTTTCGAAAAGCGTACATGTGAATTATATAAGAAGATAATTTAAGTATTTAATTGCGTATTCAAAACAATTGGAACAGGTATAAAACTATAGAAAAGTAGTATAAAATAATATTCATGAAAATAAAGTTATTTAGATATATTGTCAGTGTTCAGTTAACGTACACAACCTACTTTACGTTATGTACAAATATACATTCAATTATCGATTTTTGGATACACATGTTTGATTGTTTGCATGAACGTACTGGACACGTTTAAATATATAATCAGTGTTCAGTTAACGTACACGAGCTACTTTACTTTTTGTACGAATGTATATTAATTGAATTAGCTTATATTAAGAACACATATATCATTGTTAACATGAACGTCCTAGGTGCATATTTTTACATATTTAAATTTTGTCTTTTCTTTGTTATAATCATGTAGTTATTATCGAATATAACTTCAAAATTGCTTGAATAGAATTGAAAAATGGTTGAAGAAATGGCGAATTAAAACGAATGAAGCAAAATCGAGTCACGTAACATTTACACTTAAAAAGTTACTCCAGTTACTTTAAACAATAATATTATCCCAGAAGCTGATGATGCCAAATACCTGGGTATTATTTTGGATTGCAGGATTACACATAACTAAGCAATTAGGAATCAAATTCGCTAAATTTGCCCTGGTGTGGGCCTATGGTAAATAGCTTTGGGGAACAGCGAGCAAACATTGATATAATTCGACGTTATCAATCAAAGTGTCTGCGCACCCTGGTGCAAGCTCACATAACGACCTGATCCACAATGACCTCGAAATTAATACCGTGAAAAGTGAAATTTCTATGTTTAGTGAGCAGTTAGAAAAGCACCCTAATACTCTAGCTATAAATTTATTAGACAATGGTGAAACCGCCCATACACTAAAAAGGTATAACATCCTTGATATCCCTTATAGATTTTGAAATTAGAAAAATGTTTTTAGTTATTTGTTTTTATTGTTAAAATTAATATTTATTTATATTATATTAGGTAATTTGGAAGGTTTTCAATGGGAAACTATTCCGCTCAGTGTTATATTCTGTTGCAGTTCCAAAACTATTTACTCGTTGCCAGAATTTGGCAGATTGTGAATAATAAATTTATTAAAAAAAATATATATATCGAATATTTTAAATGATGTTCAAGTGTATTTAAAATTGAAAATTAATTATTTTGAAAGAATAATTTGCATTAAATATGAAATTCGACATAAATAGTATATGGAATAAATTTAAGGGCTACAAATGTTCAATTATTCGCTCGTACGTACTGGTTGTTCGCATGAACGTACATTTTACAATCATAAATATTTCAATTTTGTTTAGACTATTTTATTTTCCTAATAATCTTTATATATACATTTACGTATTACCGATTAATTAGAAGGAAGAACGATAGTCTGACGAATAAGTATCCTTATAGTACGTACGAATGAACGGAAAACAAACTTATTATTATGTATTACTGATTTAATAGTACAAATGTTTCATTATTCGCTCGAACGTAGTGGTTGTTCATATTAACGTACATTTTCAAATCATAAATATTTCAGTTTCGTTTAGACTATTTTCTTTTCTTTATAATATTTTTATAAATACGTACGTATTATCGATTAATTAGCAGAAGATAGTCTGTAGAATTCTTATAGTATGTAGAAATGAACGTAAAATAAACTTGGACTTAGCATATATTTGGGACAACCGTTTCATCATTAAATATTTGTTAAGTATAGTGGAACCTTGGTTTACGAACTTTTAGCTTAACGAGCAAAATTAATTGTAAAAATGACTCGCTTAACGAGCGACGATTCGCATAACGAGTGACGAAGAGATGTAATTTTCAAATAATTCTAATAATATTTACCTAATATAGCGACAACCATGTTATTCTGGACAACCTCCATTGACCCGTTACAAATGTAGTAGATGGAACTGAGTGCATCCCCTCTATGTATCAGGTATTCACCTGGGGCGCAGAAGTTGGTTCTGATGTGAAGGGAGAGCAGTTTCATGCAACCCTGTGAGGCCGATTCGAAGATTGGCAACTGCAGGATCTCTCGATGCAGGTGCATGGATACATCCCCTCTCAGCTCCTCCGGGAACTCTTTCAGCGTCTTCGAAAGTAAACAAAAAAAATAAGTAAATAAAGTGCATTAGCCGATGAAAAATTGACCTCATAAAATATACGTAAGAAATCAATAATATAAGCTGCTCAAAGAAGCGACAAACCCGAGAAAAGAGTAAAGTAAAATATTTTGAAACCATAAAGTTGAAAAGAAAAATATGTCATATTTTATATATTCTGCTGTGAATTTTATCATTAACAAGTTAATTTTATTACTTAATAATTAAGTTAACATTATAATTATAAAAAATAATTTCAAGAATTAAAATATATTTTTATAATTAAAACAATTGTTAATTAACATTGAAATTATTAAAAATAATAAGATTATTATTACGAATATTATGATTTGGACATTAATCTACTTATTAATTAATATACACAATTAATTTAACATTTATATTAAAATTATAATAAATGTTCAAATCTTTTCAATAGTAATTAAAATGTGTTATAATTAGTTAATAGCAAAATTATTTTTGTTTAAACGAATAATGTTCATAAGTTTGTATAAGTTTTATTTTATTGTTTTTAAAACTCTCGACAATCTCATTTTATCTATATTTTTCTATCCGTTCCTCAAACATCATAAGTTTAGTTTTATCTATATTTGCCCACAATTTCCTTCGCACATAAAACAACCCCTCTGCACATTCCTTTTTTTTATTACATTTTTTATACTAAAGCGTATATATTTATATAAAACGTTTAACAGTTTGTTATTCCTTCAAAATGTCCAAAAAAATATGAATTACTATGCACTATATTTTATAGCTCTAAATTCACACTATATTTTTATTCATAAATAACGTCCGGTTTTCCGCCTTGCCTGAAATTTATTATTATCATTTTACAGTAATTTTCAAACACATTTCTATAAAATTTTTCATATAAAATACTTAGAAAATGGAAATAAAATCTTTTGATATTCTTCAGTGCAATTAAAGTTTTCTAAATAAATTTATAGTTTTACAAAATTTTCAATATTTTATTATCGGGTTTAACTAAAATATAAATATTTATTGTCAATTGCGATTAAATTTGTCCCAAAACTAAAATTTTCCGGATTTTCCTGTATAACGCATCAAGAAGATTCTCGCGTTTCGGATCTCTCTCAAGTTAATTACAGCGCACACTTTAAGCCCATTTTAATTATGAAATTTAATTAGTATTTTCGCAAGTTCCGTTTTCCTGAGCACAAAAAAAAACTCCATTAAAACTAAGTTGTTTTTTTTAATTGCGTGCAAGTAGAAAGGATTTATCGTTCAACAATGCTCACGTTTTATGTACGTACTTTATTGGATTGCATTTCGAGAGAAAAAAAATATATATACCGGAAAACAGGATTTTTTGTTTGTTTTCATTTGCGTAAAATAGTTTTCTTTGTTTCCAATTTAATATGCTAGAAATTTGAATATCCTTGTGTTCGGTGGAAGTTATCTTCTGATATTTTATTCGATATAAACACGAGTTGCGAACGTTACGTACGGACATTTTATGGGTCTATTGTTGCATTAACGGATGACACAAAGTTCATGATGTGCTTCGGAGTTTATGAATGCGTAGCGGTATGGATGAAGAGAATATATAAAAAACTGTGGTAGTGAAACGCGTATTTGATGCAACATAATGTAAAGAGAAACAATGTGAATATGGAACTATCGGCAATATCGTTGGTCGGAATCGAAACAAAGCGGAACAAAAGTCGACAAATTCTATTCGAATTGTGTACATGCACATCCCCAATGCATGAAACAACTGAAATAATACAATGCGAATTGTTTCAAAATCCAACAGGAAACTACATACAAAAAAATGATTTGATTTATTGCTATCATGATATATTTATTTTGATGTTTGAGAAAATGACAAAATTTGGGATGTTTCAGATGTTGGAGATGCTTGAGGTGTTTGAGTTATTTGAAATGTTTCACATGTTTTAGATATTTAGTTCGACATATTTGACACTGTTTGATATTTGACATATTAGACATGTTTGATCAATAATAATATATTGTTGAATACCTCGGTTCACAACCATTCGGTTCCCACACGTAAATATAATACAAAAATACATTTGTTTTTGAATATAATTCCCCCAAAAATTATTTGAAGGCGTATACCCTAGTGACGTTTGAGATATTACATATTTGACATGTTTGATTAGTCATAATATAACCTAAAATTAAAATAATATTAGGTTAAGTTAATATATATTGTTTTCATCAAAAACCTTGTAATTTGTTTTTAAAGAAAATCTCCTACACATTAAATTATGCAAGTTTGATGTATGTTATTTACTTGTATTTTGTGACGAAGGTCACAAATATACAAGGTACAAATATACAATATACAGGTATACAAATAAATATTTTATTAAATAATATTTAAGATATTTAACATATTTATCATGTTCTGGATATTTGACGTGTTTGACATGTTTTAGATATTTGACATGATTGAAATGTTTGACCATGTAATCTAAACATCTCAAATTAATTTGAGGTTAAATTAAATTTGTATTTTTTTTTTCAACAAACACAATGTTAAAAATGTTTTAAATGAAAATCTTCAATAAATTCAATTATGCCAGTTTTAAGTATATTATTTTTTATGTTTTGTGTATTTCAAAAAATAAATGTATATAGTTAATAAAGTTCCGAGTGGAAAGAAGTTATTATTAACTAATGTTTGACATATTTGACAAGTTTCAGATATATGATATGTTTGAGGTATTTGAGATGTTTGATCTGTCATAATTAAACGTCAAATTAATCTAAACCTGTCAAATTAATTTGAGGTTAAATTAAATTTGTACACATTTTTGTCATAATAAATATTATTTTAATTTTAAATGAAAATCTTCAATAAATTCAATTACGCAAGTTTTAAGTATATTATTTTTTATGTTTTGTGTATATCTATAAATAAATCTATATAGTTGATACAGGGCGACTAATAGCTGAATAGTTCGCCCTACCCACGATCTAGTGGACACAGGTTCAAATCCTGATCAAGCCAGGCCCTTTGTGAGCCCTCTCGGTGCTTGCAGCAATAGGGCCATCGTTCATCACAGATGGACAGTCAAAAGAATGAGGTTCATCATATGGACCTTCAGCCAAGTCGATGGACAATAACAATATTAAGGATAGCAGCAGATTCACAGTCATAGATAATAGTGGAATCGCAGAGCATCAATATACTACTGAAGTTAACCTACAATTTACTCAATGTTCACATTGATGAACAGATTGTGAATAAAATTATACGACATAAAAAAAAATAGTTATTAGAGTTCCGAGACGAAACAAGATAGCTTATTAACTAATGTTTGACATATTTGACAAGTATTAAATATTTGATCTATTTGACATATTTGACATCTTTGACGTATTTTACATCTTTGATCATTCATAATTAACCTCAAATTAAATTTGTATTCTTTTTTTTTTATTAAAAATATTGTAAATGAAAATTTTATAAAATTTCAATTGTACAAGTTTTAAATATGTTATTTTCTTGTATTGTTTGTTTCAATATTTCAATAAATAATTCAATATAGTTTGCGAAGTTTGCGAATCGAAACAAAATATATTATTAACTAAGTGAAATATAGAAGGAAAAACTGATGAAATGAAATAAATCCCGTCGGTGGGATTGATTTTAAAACATATATAAAACATTTTGCGGGCGGATGATGTAATTGGAATTGGAAAACTTTTCAGACTGTTCTAGGCTTTCGCACACGCAACTCGAACCGAATAAAAATAAAAGCAAACACGCGACACCTTTTCACACTTTCCGCCCGCAAAAAGTTTCGTAACGTGCCTTCACAAATCGCAACGATTACATAAACGTCGCACTATGTGCACAGGGATTAGATCTTTAGTTATGTAGTAGACATACATTTATTATATTTAAAGTTATAAATTAGTTAAGTTGTGTGATAAATTTATTATGATTATGGTCTAAGTTTTTAATATTATGTATGATTATATAATCAAATTAAGTAAGTTTAATTAAAATATAAAGTGACTACTAAAAGCCGATTTAGTAAGCATAAAGAGAATACTGGCATTGAATACCTCGGTTCACGAATATTCGGTTCCCAAACGTAAATCTAATATAGAAATATGTTGGTTTCTGAATATAATTCGCCAAAAGACAATCTGACAAATGTAGGACTTATACTCTTTAATTTCGGTATTCGAACTTTATCTAAAAATAAAATAAATCTACTAATATATATTTTGAAAGAAAAAGGCATTATTAAGCGTACATTGAACCTTTTACGGTTGTTTAAATTTGATTACCTAATGTAAATCTAATTGAAAAATATATTGGATTCTGATCATAATTCCACTTAAAAAAATAAACTGAAGCCGGTTTCAGTTTTCGAACAAACTCTAAAAAGAAAGTAAATCTTCTAATCTGCAAAAATATATATTTTGAAATGTATCATGTTGAAAAATACTTTAGTGAGCGTTTAGTGAAATTTGGACTATTGAATACCTTGGTTCACGAATATTTAGTTCCAAATTGCAAATGTAATACAAAAGAATATTTGTTTACAATCATAATTATTAAAAAAAACATACTGACGGTGTATACTCTCCAGATTCGGTTTTCGAACAAGCTTTAAAAATAGAGTGAAATTAGTGAAATTTGAACTATTGAATACTTCAGTTTACGAATATTTAGTTCCATATAAATCTAATACAAAAGTACAAATGTTTCTGAATAAAATTATCTTAAAAATCAATCTGACGGCGTATACTCTCCAGATTCGGTTTTCGAACAAGTTTTATTTTATTTTAAATCAATCATGTACAAAATGGCTTTAGTGAGGGTAGAGTGAAATTTCGATTATTTTATACCTTGGTTTACGAATATTCTCTTTATAAACGTAAATCTAATACAAAAATACATTGGTTATCAAATGACAATTTGACAAATGTACGACGTATAAAGTCTAATTTCGGTTTTCAAACAACTTCTAAAAGTAAACATTTGTAAATAAATATTTTTGTTACTATTATATTAATAAATTCTAAAATAAATAATATGTACTTTATAATACTGTAGATTATAATAATAAACAGAGCTTTCTTTTTTTTGTGTTCTGAAAATACATATGTGAAGCAAATATTTTCATTCGTTATTATTAGTACTTGTATATATGCAAAATTCGTGTTTTAATGGATATCGATTGGCGAATATATGAATAATATTTACTTGTTGAATGCTTATTTGCAAAATTTGAGTGTCACGAGTAGATTATAATAATTAAACTCGTCATTATTAGTTTGATGACCCTTTTTGCTTATTTCATCTTCCAATATTACATATTCATGCAATTAACAACTAATTAGAATAAATTGTTTTGTACATTTCTCTGCATTTAGATGGTAATAACATTATAACAATTATTACCTACGCTTTTCAAATTGGAAAGTGTATTTTGTTTATATTCCTTTTTACTAGTTAATAAAAAAATGTAGATATTAAGAATATCAGGTACTTAAAATTTACTTAAAAATTAGTGAATTTTGTTGACTTTTTGAAAAAGATTTTTCATGTAATATGAAAGGAGAAGTATTTTGTAAGATTAAAACTAAAGTGGTAATATTTGCATAAGCCTATCGTTTATTTTTTACCTCGTGAATATCAATTCCATGGTTGAACGACCACGTCGTCTGGAAATAGTCCTGCATTCGGTGTTTAAGTTCTTTAGGGATTTGATGGAGGGTGAGGAAGTCCTTCAAATCCCGCCATTTGGTGTGGTAAAGGGAGCGCCTCGAGTACATCCTCTGGATGATTGCAGTCACATTTCCAAAGACCACCGCATGCATAAGGGCTGCGGAACAATCGAGAATTAAACGATTCGCCTCGCATGCAAGGTCATTTTCAAATGTCTCACCTCCGATAAGCATTATGCAAATGCTGAAGATCTTTTCCTCTTTCGTGTTGGCGCTGACGTTGCCGAAACCGACGCTCGTCAGGCTCGAACAAGTGAAGTACAGAGCGGTCACGTAAGAGTCCGTGTGCGAGATGTTCTCGATTGGTAATTTCAGCTTATCCGCCAAGCTGTGGATCCAACCTGTGGAATGTCATAACAATGCTGAAGCTTTTCTTTTTTTTTCTTTATTTGGTTTTTGTTGTTTACGGTCAAGTGATTCTACGTGTTGCAAATGAGAGAGTTGTTTGTGCTTTTTTTTGATCATCGCATCGATTTATAAAAGCGTAAAATAATGGAGTCGAATTGGAAAATAAATAGTAGAATGATGATAAATAAGTCAGCAGTATTAAAAGATGAAATTGGTGAAGAAGATGAAAAGCATGAAGAGGACGATGAAGAAAGTGGAAAACATAGAAAAAATGATACGATAAAGAAAGAGGAGCAGATTTGAAGAGGACAAAGAAGAGGAAGAGAGGATTATTGATTGCTCACCTAAAGAAGAGGATGAATAAGAGGATTGAGAGTATGAAGAGATTAAAGAAATTGAAGATGACGAAGAGAAAGAAAAGGATGAATAAAATGAAAGCACGAAGAGGACGATGAATATGAAGAAAAGTGTAAAATATAGAAAAAGGACAAATATTATACAAATATGAAGAGGACGAGGACAATTGTAATATCAGAGGATTGTTGATTGCTCATCTAAAGAAGAGAATGAATAAGAGGATTGAGACTATGAAGAGATTAAAGAGAATGAAGATGACGCAGATAAAGAAAAGGATGAATAAGATAAAAGCACGAAGAGGACGATGAATATGAAGAAAAGTGGAAAATATAGAAAAAGGACAAATATGATACAATATAAAAAAATGAGCAGATATGAAGAGGACGAGAACAATTGTAATATCAGAAGATTGTTGATTGCTCATCTAAAGAAGAGGATAAATAAGAGGATTGAGAGTATGAAGAGATTAAAGAGAAAGAAGATTGCGAAGAGAAAGAAAAGGATGAATAAGATGAAAGCACGAAGAGAACGATAAATATGAAGAAAAGTGTAAAATATAGAAAAAGGACGAATATGATACAAATATGAAGAGGACGAGGACAATTGTAATATGAGAGGATTGTTGATTGCTCACTTAAAGAAGAGGATGAATCAGAGAAAGCACGAAGAGGATGATGAATATTAAGAAGTGTAAAATATAGAAAAAGGACGAATATGATACAAATATGAAGTGGACGAGGACAATTGTAATATCAGAGGATTGTTGATTGCTCACCTAAAGAAGAGGATGAATAAGAGGATTGAGACTATGAAGAGATTAAAGAAAATGAAGATGACGCAGATAAAAAAAGGATGAATAAGATGAAAGCACGAAGAGGACGATGAATATGAAGAAAATTGGAAAATATAGAAAAAGGACGAATATGATACAATATAAAAAGAGGAGCAAATATGAAGAGGACGAGAGCGATTGTAATCATTGAGCTAATGAAGAGAATGAATAAGATGACAGCAGATGACAAAGGGAAAGAATAGGACGAAGAAGATGAGGAAAAGTGTAAAATATAGAAAAAGGAAGAATATGATACAATATAAAAAGAGGAGCAAATATGAAGAGGACGAGGAGGATTGTAATATCCGAGGATCATTGATTGCTCACCTAAATCCCTTCCGTCGTCGTTCTTCTTTTCGGCTATCACGTACCAAATGCAGGCTAACCAGTGAGCAACCAATGTGAACGACAGCATTAGCAACGTTAAAATCATCGCGCTGTATTGGAAGTAACGGTCCATCTTCTGCAGAAGCCTCGCAAGGCGCAGTAATCTGATGAGCTTTATCAAGTGGATGTTGTGGTTGCTGAACGTCGATCCCGGTCCTGACTTCTGAAACCGAATGGACCATAAAAAGCAACACAAACACAACAGCTAAAGTCACAATTACAAATTCGTTTTAAATTGAAAAATTTCAATCAAAAATAGATATAGAATAATTTAAGTCTGTGACTTCTGTAATAAAAGAAGGAAAATATTGATTATATAAATTAAATAATCACTTTCTTAATTTGTATTTATAAAGAAAAGATATTTTTAAAATTGTGGATTAAATGCTTAAAAATATTAAATAATGTTTTTGACTACAATTGAAATAATAACTTATTACATTAATCCGAAAAAAAAACCATTTAAATCATGAATACTGTATGAGATTATAATATTATGATAATTTTAATCTGCAAAAGTTTTAAGCTTTTCGTTCCTAATTAATTGGTTATTAGCGGTTTACTAAAAGCTCGGATAATTCAATTGTTGAATTAGATGAAAAGACGGATTAAAGAAATGGAAAAGTTACATTACCTCAGAGCCGTAAATGGCGTAAAGAAGGTCGAAGGGTAAAGCTGCTAGCAAATCGACGATGAACCATGTGCGTAAATAATTGACTGAAATCGATTTCCAATCGGACACCACCTCACCCTTTCGGCTCACGTAAGTCGTTCGGAAATTTAATATTATATCTGCAACAGAATTATCACATAATCAACATTTTCAACTTTAAATACAGAAGCTTTTAAACATTGTCGAATTATTGTTTTATTTGTTTTATTCGGATAAAACATATACAGAAATTCATTAAATAATAACTGATTTATATGGAAAACTATGATAAATTGGATTAATTAATTAATCAAAAATTAATGCCATTAATTAGCTGCATTTTTTATAGATATTACAATCAAGTATGATTTCGATGTGTACGCGGAAACCTCGTTTCTCGAACGTTCGGTTCCAACAAAGTTTCGGTTTTCGAACAATCCAATACATTTTTAATGCTGTTCAAAGTAAAATCTTATTATGTTTAATATGAAATGTTTTCGAAAATAAATAATCGATAAAAGAATTATTACGAATCCTCATTTTACGAGTTAACTAATTGAATTAAGTATAGAACTAATGAATTTTGGTGGTAATTAGTATCGGACCAAAGGTGGGATAATAATGACTTGCATGATTAAAGAAAATTTGCATGAATACACCGCAAACTACAAACTAAGAATGAGTATATAGTGTATGTGAGTACATCCTAGCCACCTGCACTGTCTGGGTTAATACAATTAAGGAAGTTCCGTGCAGCCTCACTAACCGGTATTAATTAAAAACTTTTGTAACGTGCGCCAAACTAAAATGTATATTAATTGACATTATTTTATACTTTGCATCCTTCACGTTCACAAAATTAGATTACGTCATTGAAAGTACGTTTCCATTGAGTATTCATTCACATTATTTTATTTATATATATATTTAAAAAAAAGTAAAAATTATTTAAAATTTCATTTCAAAAACAGACTTTTCTTTGGTTTTCAATTATAATTTTATCGTAATAATCTTTTATAATATTTTGATTAATTTCTAGAATGTTATTTAGTATAAGAAAGATTACACATATAATAATTAAAGTAGATATAATCATAAAAAATAATTGAAATATTTCTAGCTAGATTATATAACAAACGATAAAATATTGTAAGGATTGTGATAACAGTTTAAATTATGATATTTATAGAGTAAATAAAAGATTTATACAAAAAAATAACTAAAATAATTATTGTAATGAAGGAAATGCGTGTGAAAAGATAAATGAAACAAATTATGTTTGCTCTCTTTGATGTCGCGAGTTTCGCGTGAATATTTTGCACATTCGAGGCAAATCGTGTTAAAACCTAATAGATATAACAGTGAGGTTATGATGGATAATAGAACTGCGAGATGAGCCGCATCATATTAGGGCTTTGTGCGTTAGCTTTGGAACGTTCTTTGAAAGCACAATAACGTTTGCATATGGAAATCTGACCGAGCCGGAATATCGGCAAGCGCCGACACACAGGGTATAACAACAACAGAGGATGATATAGACATTGAGATATAGACATAGAGGGTGGCGATTGTAGTTGTAACATAGGTGGCACGGACAAAAGACATCCAAACAAGCCAAACGTAATTGCAATTACATCAAGGAGAAATATATACAAAAAAGTACTTTTTAACTTTTAAAGGAAAATCTGTGTTGAGAAAGGATTCTTTGAAGACGTTAATTGTGGTTTGAAATATTTGATAATTGAGAAATACTGTTAAGTTTATTTGAAGTATTTCTGGTGCTTTTTTGTGTGAATTATTTAATGATTTTTAATTGGATTAATCATAAATTCACATATAAAAACATATAATAAATACAGCGAAAAATCTGCATTAAAACGTCCAGAACAACAGTTTCGGTTTCCGAACAAACTAACTGATTTTCAGATTTATCATTCATAATTTTGATTAAAATGTATCTAATGTCAAAAAAAAACTTTGGAAGCGATTCAATTTTCCTGCACTAAAAAATATAAAGAATATGAAATTACAAATAAGAAATTATCTATATAAATAAGAGTGTTCAAACCAAATTTCTTTGCTAAAAATATTTTGAAATTCGCAAATATTGATTCACTCTGAAAAGAACGTGAATAAAGGTGAAATATAAATGCATCCATCAATATTGCTTCAACAAATGGATGTAACATGAAAGAGGGTTTCTTTTGAACGCAGAAAAATAAAAACATAATAATAACACGTAGGGAAACGCGGAAATAGGGTGAAACGGAGGTGTATATAAAGCATTTTCAGGCGCTCATTTCATAGTAATTCGTCAAGATCATATCATGCATGAAACCGTTTTCAGAACGCTCAAAATTACATTCATGTAAAAATCGTGTCGCAAATCAAAAAAAAACGCAGAGATATTTCCATCAATTCGCAATTTTCAGTTAAAATTTTAATTACTTCTTAAATATTGATTTTAATGAAAGCTTGCAATAACTGACCGTTAATTACGACAATAGAATTAATGAATGCAGTATTGATTCAATTTATTTTCGTGAAGTAAGGAAATATTGTTGCGGTGTATATTTCACGCTTAGTGAAGTGTGAATGTGAGATAGGAAGATTTGGACGTGCAAATGGAAAGCTAAGGAATAAATACTGGTTACCTGCATTCGTAGCTTTCGCAAGATAAAAATTGGTCATGGGATGGCAGGAAGATGAAGTAATGTGGAACAAGTCTGATAAATGCCATGGAAGTGATATGAAAATAACGGAAACATCGAAAAAGTTTAAAAAAATCTCTAACCCCGCTTTACGTCGTTTCGATTTTCGTAATTTAAACGTAATATATTGAATGTAAATAGCGCGGACGCGATCTTTCTTACATTAAATTTCATTTGGTGTTATTTTTTTTCGACATAAATCGGGGTTTGAATCATTGTAGTAAGTACACTGCAGAAACTTTAATATAATTATTGAGACCATTTCTTTTCGTTTTGTTTCGACGTTTAATTGTTTTTTCGACGCTAAGCGAATTGTTGGTTAATTTAATTAATAACTTTTTAAATAGCATTAGATTTCGTTTAACATTGTTTTAATGTTTTATATTATTTTCGACGTTAAGCGGGGTATGAGCCAGTGTAATTAGAATCTTAAAGAATTTGATTAAAATAAACTTTAAATTAATTATTGTTTTACATTACAGTTTGTTTTGCGACATTTTGATTATTAATAGTTTTCGACGCTAAGCGGGGTTTGGGTAACTTGCAGAATTTGATTAAAATAAACTTCAAAATAATTATTCAATGAGAATTACATTTCGTTTAACGTTGTTTAAATGTTTTATGTTTTTCAACGTTAAGCGGGGTATGAGCCAATATAATTAGAAATTTGCAAAATTTATTTAAATAAACTTAAAAATAATAATTAGCATTATATTTCGTTTAACTTTGTTTTAAAGTATTATATTTGTTCAATGTTAGAAACTTTCAAAATATTAATCGGTTGAAGATTTTTTTTATAACATTCTGTAATTAAAAGTAAGGAACCAAAATAATAATTAGAAGTTAAAATAATGTAATTAACTGTTGACCATAAAATGCATTTCCAAACAAACATATAGCTTTGATAAACTCCGAATTGCGTAACGTTTCGTTGCATAATTGTTACGGCTCGCATAAAAACGGACATAATTTACGTTAAATCCGAAAAGTGCAATTTGAATTTGCCACAATGTTTGCGTATTTTGCTCGTAATACGTATAATATATTTCGTGGCCACAGATCCTCCATCCTCCTCCCGTTAAACCACTATATAATTGCCGTTAGCGTCGTGCAATATGCAAATAGGTCTCAGTCAATGTCAAACTTAATATCCTGCATTAAATTCTGAATACTATCCCACTTTTAGCCCATGAAAAATTAAAAAAAGAATGTAATGAAATAAAACAAAAAACGTAAAAGGATACAAACGATTACGAACGTACGAGGTTCTAACGATATGCTATATTTCCGGACTTGAAGTGTACTAATTGCAAGGATAATGTATATTCATTTTCTTGCTACTTCCAATCTGCATCTTATTAATAACATTGTGGACACTGTAATGTTGAAGCCAGTTCAGTGGAATATTAATGTTTATGAATTCGTTGCGTAATTAACAACCTAATCTGCATTTTGGTGGCAACAGTTCGTTGTCACAAAGGCTTCAACACGTACTTGAATTGTAACAGTTTATAAATAATTTGATGAATAATTTAACATTATAAAATAGTTGAATAATATACCAGAAGATGGCGCAACAGTTATTTACATTTGACACATTATTGAATGAGTAGATTTTTTTTATTATCATTTACAAATAGATCATGCAAGTAATTACGAGAAAACTTTGTTTCAAACTGCACTAAAGGAGTAATTAACAATTGGAATTTTTGTAATTGTTATCAATTCAAGTACTGCTAATGTCAAACTATGAAACATAATTATAATATTCGATTTATTTTAGTAACCCAATTATTTTATTCCAACTTTAACATAATGTTGTTTAGGAAATGTTTGTGTCTGTGCTGTGGCGCAGTTATCGAATCCTTAGTACACCGGCAGCTCTATAGGTGGCGCCATAAGAACAAGCGCCAAATTTAAATTTTGAAAATTTCTGATAAAATTCCAATTTAATTAGTATCTTCGATTAATGTCTTCGATTTACATTTCAGACATTGATAAGTTTTTAATAATTAATCCTTTCATTCTATATTTATGTAAGGTAAATTTATTAAATTATTAAATGTAAGTATTGTGTCATAAGTATTGCTTAAATCTCGAATAATAAGCAAAAATACATCATAATGAGGTTTTATTGCTTTGTTTTGGTGTAAGGTTCCATCGGCAGCTCATTAGGGGGCGCCACTCGATTTCCAGATTTGCGAAGGCACACATCGTCTTTGGTCCCCTGTCTTAAACCCTTTTGATTTAGGCATTAAAAAATATACAGTAGTTCTATAATATACCAAAAGATGGCGTACCATAATTTAACATTGACAAATTATTGAATCCGCAGATTTTTTGCAACAGATCATGCAGATAATTTAAAAAAATATTAATTCATAAACAATGATAAAACTCAAAGAAATATTAGGAAATAATTGAAAATTAAGAATTATTAATTTTTGTAATTGAAAATATTTAATAAATTATATAAAGCTCAAAATCTAGTTTCAAACTATTTACAGTCATTTATTTAGTATTTTTAAATATGAATTATATAATTTTGTGACTATTCGACTGTGAAATGTAATAAACCCTCGACAGTGTCAATTGTTCTGTGACACCTTTTGTTTGAAATGAGTTACGTAATCAGGAAACTTTCGGTGTCTCACTGTATGTAATTTAGTAGAGTGGGCGGTAAAATGAGAAGAGCGCATCCAAGAAACTAAGGGAATATGTGATTAAATTAAACTCTCATATAAAGCACCAAGGAGACCAATGCATACAAGAAGAAGTAAACTTTTATTACTTCGAACACAGTTTTTTTTACTCATTTTCATGTTTGTCAGAACTAATAATTACAGCACGTAACACTTACATTATTAATTATAACGTATACTTTATTACTTAACTAACAATTACATAAAAAATATGCGAATTTACAATTTTAACCATTAGAACGACACAAAAAACACATGTTTAGAAGAAGGTACATTGAGCTTGCACAGCTCTAGTGCAGACATTCACAATAAACGTACACGATATTCATTCTAACGTACATTTTTCTTGCACAAAACTTGTCAGCTGACCCAGTCTGATCAAAAAAGAACGTTCGAACGAGTATTGTTTCTTCTTTTTACTTCTTACTTCTGATAACGCAGACTATATTATTAAAATATACGATATACATCAATACTTTATTTAAGGTAAAAAAACATCAGAAGGACACAAAAAGCTTTAAAATAAAGGTGTCCACAGGAACGTACTTGCTCTAGTCTATCGGACAGATTTAAATCAATCCACGTTTGTAAGACTATTTTTTGTTACTTCGGATATTAAATAATCTCACGTTAACATAGCGTACTCAATATTCATTCTAACGTACATGTTGCTTGCAAAACACTTATAAACTGATCCAGTCTTATCAACACAGAACGTTTAAACGACTATTTCTTCGTTACTTCTGTTATTAAATAAATAAGTACTTATATCAGAATATACGTTAAAATAATTTACGTAAAGTGAACGCAGACTAAATTATTAAAATTTAGGATATAAGAATAAACATGAGAACTACACAAAAAAACAAACAAAGTTTAAAATTAAGGTATTCACTGGAACGTACATTCTGCTTGTAGAGCCCTAGTCAATCGATCTGATTTAAATCATTCAACATTTGTACAACTATTTATTTGTTACTTCATATATTAAATAATCACACGTTCACATAAATGTACTACATATTCATTCTAACGTACATTTTGCTTGCACAACACTTGTCAACCGAACGAGTCTAATCAAGAAAGAACGTTCGAATTACTATTTCTACGTTACTTCGTTACATCTGATATTAAATAAACAAGTAGTTATAATAGAATATACGCTAAAATAATGTACGTAAAGTGAACGCAGACTATATTATTAAAATTTACGATGTACATCAGTTCCCCTTTATTTACTTTGAACATACGATATTAAATTTTCATTTCCTTCATCCCGAAATGATAATAATAATATAAATAAACAAAGTGCAGCGTTAAATAAAATGTAATTGTATTTCCTCCCCATATTTGCCTCTACTTCACCTATAGTTCCATCTCTCTCTAGTAATCTCCCACACCAATTCCCTCTCTCACTCTCTCCATTTCTGCTATACGCTGCCCACGCCGCATTGAACTCTCATTTAATCCAGGATTTATGGCGTTGAAATTGTTTTGTGCTGCTAAAAATAGCCGACCGCGTGTTAAAAATAGCGATCCCGTTGCACGGTTCTGCAATATTTACTCGCCCGGCGCATCCACCGTGAGCTTATGTGCACATTCATTGGCTTTTTTATATAATAAATTTATTTTGAAAATAAAATAACACAACACAGAAAAAAAAAATTCGAAAATTTGAAACACTTCATCAAAAGCAAATCCCGAATGCAATTAGGTTTTTTTCTATATGCGGATTGTATAAATTTAGTAGAAATCAACTAAAATTTGGCAAGTTTGATTGTGTTAGAAAAATATATAATAATAAAATCCACAATTTGTTTATTTTGAAACAAAAATGAATTTTATGTTTATGAAATATTAGTTTTTCAAAATGATTATCAAAATTTATATAAAAGTGAGGTAATGAATAGAATCATAAATTTCTTTTTTTATGTAGACATAAAACTATAAAAGAAATAATTGTTTAAATTTTTAAAATAAAACTTATGTAAACCTGTATTAATTAGTTTAAATATTAAAACAATATTAGTCAAAATTATATAATTTAAATTGATTTAAAAAAAAACTGTACAAAAGCTTAAGTTATAAACAGTTGGGCGGATATATCAGCCGCTCGTCCGAAAATCTGAATAATAATGAAAAATTACAATGTAACTTCTTATTGTGTAGATTTTGAAACTCAATTTAATGGATGAATTAATTTTGAAAAACGTTGTGTGAAATTTTTTTGTATAAATCGTAATTAATACTTTTGATTTATGCATGATTTACAAACAAATTATGTTGATGTATGAAAACGTTGATGATGTTATATAAGCATGAACATGAACATAAATATAATAAATATAGTAAAAAGATGGGCGGATATATCAGCCGCTCTTCCGCAAAAAAAAACTGAATAATAATGAAAAATAACAATGCAACTTCCAATTGTGTAGATTTTGAAACTAAATTTAATGGATGAAATAACTTTTAAAAACGTCGTGTGAAAAAATGTTGTGTAAATCATAGTTAATAATTTAGATTTATGTACGATAGATTTACAAACGAACGTTGATGATGTTATATAAACATGTTCACTTTTCATAAGCTTTTAGGTTGATGCACGATTAGGTTAATAAATCGATGCTTGTGTCTGTGCATCAATCATTACGGAATGATGCGAGGGCGTAGTAATAAAATATGGTCATAGAACTCACCTATAAAAAATAGGGCTTCGACGACGACGTCTACGGCCACCGAAGGTCGTTCCCCGTCGTCGTCCATAAAACTCGCGTTGTAGGGGACGACGACTGCCACATAAAAAGTTGCGATGAGTATCAGCCAGTCCCAGCAACTCTTAAACATGCCATAATGGGACAGGATGAAGCGGCTCTTCTTCACAGCTGCTGTTTTGTACTCTGGTAATGGGGCCGGCGTTGAACTTAGAAGATTCTAGATATACAAATATTAAATATTAATGCAATAATACAACTAACATAATTACAAATAGTAAAATCATACAATATGGGTACACATATTAACCGATTTACATGGTAGATAGGTTCCTGAGAAAAACGTGTAAATCGAAATTCTAACTTTTTGAATGTAAAACCGTGTAAATCGTAAAATATGCAAAAATCACATAATTTCGTTGTTTATTAATTATGACTTTTTTATTTTGTTTTGTATCCAGTTTATTTTTAATATTTATTTTTAAACCGTGTAAAAACTTTAACGTGTAAATAAAGTACAGTTTTAAAGCGATAACGTGTAAAAAAGTACTGTGTTAAACGAGGAATAGGTGTATTACTTGAAAAAAAGAAACAGAACAGAATAGTTTTAAGCATTCCAAGCTACTCATCAATTTTAATTTTATAGTTTTTAACTCATTTTCCATGATATTTATTAAATCTTCTATGCTTGGAATAATTGAGTAACAAATAGATATTATTTACTTATTAATTAATTTTCTTATTATTAATTAATAATATATATGAAACATGGAAGTTCCTAATTATTTGAGATTTATTTACGATTAATTTAGTAAGAAATGTGTTGAATGAATAAAAAAATACACACAATTAAGATGAAAATTGAGTAAAATATAATTTATTTAATGATTAAAGAATGAAAGATTATGTAATTTAATCGTAAAGCAAAGTGCACTTCCGTACACTTATTTACTAAACTCTGAAAGTTCGCAACGATGTTGCTCGCATTAAGAATCTAAATTAGAGTATGCTGTTTCTTTCTATCTTGAAAAGCCTTTCCACACAGCTGCCACAAACGCGACATTCAGTGTATGGAGAAGATTAAAGTTCCTTTATTTAGACAATGAGTGAAGAACGTGCGAGATGCAAGGTTTCATTTACGTAAATGGGTCAAGAGAAATTGAATATAAACTTTTATTTCGTGTTGCATAATAAATCCACTGATTGATTCAAGTTTATAAAATCCGCTAGTTATTTAGACATTGATAAATTATAGAAATAAGTTTCACGTAAAAGTCATCACTAAACATTTATATCTCTGTATTATCTCAATTATTCTATAAATTTATATAAAAATAAACAGCAATGCTCCGCATAGTGCGCGTTCCGCAATATCCTGGACTAATTGAAACCACTAATTGAGGATTTTAAAATGTATGAATTGAAAAACGATATTTGTTAGAATTTATTTTTCTTTTGCTCAATAGTGAATCCGCAATTTGAAACCGCACTAATCAAGGACTTTGAAATAGCTAAAAAGGAAACGTGACTGTATGAATGGAACGAACAATAATTTTTGAATAAATAAATTTAGTGTACTATTTTTTTGAGACTTTATTTTTATTTAGCTCAATTAAAATTTAGTTGGTTATACATTAATCGAGAACATGACCTGACGATAAAATAATAATTTAAAATTGCGAAAGCCGCACTATTCGAGGTATTGATGTATATTAATTTAAAATGTAATTATCTTATTTTGATCTATTTTAAGTATAAGTCTACAAATTATATTATTTATTGATTCATCATAATATTATGTTAAAGTGTTGTGTGATGTTTTCTTAAACTAGTGTTAATAATTGATATAGACTTACGTTGTTCAGTTTGAGCTTGGATTTGATCTTGTCTTGTTTGTAGTGGCCTGAAAGTTGGTACAGGACGGCCCGCGATCTCCTACGTCCGTTGTTCGGTGGAGGCGCTTCCGGGTCGAGGTTTCCGTTTGCGTCTGCAAGGAGGCAAGAGTCAGCACCTCGGAATCGAGCTCCAAGAACCGCCGCTGCACACACAAATCTTGACTAAACTCTAACCCACCCAAAAAAATATAATCAGGACAAGCACAAACACATCCATCATCATCATTATCAATCTACAAACTAACCCAGTGGTTCCCAAACTGAAGAAATTACCATTAACATAAAGTTTGCTATGTGATAGACCAATATTTTGACTTCTCATAAATTAAAAGCGTTAGATTGGGACAAAGTTTGGGAACCTCTGATCTAACCAATTGATTCTCTCTCTTTTCTCTATCATCTTGGAATTGGAATGTCACTGAGTTCCGATTATAGAATTTTGTTTATTTTTATATTAGTTATTGTTAAAACTAAATTTGTGTAGCGACGGTCTGGGAATAATAACAAACAAAGATTATTATTATAATAGTTTAATGTATAAAATTTTCATTATTTTTCAAGCATTAGAACTTTGTGCATTTTATAAATTAGAGAAGATATAAAATAAACAATAATTAGAGATAATAGTGAAATTTTATAAGATCAAAAAAATATAATGTTTGAAGACATTCCAAAACATTCAGGCATTTTTTTTTTCAAATTTATAAATCTCGAAAGAAGAAATAATTTGTAACATTCAATAACATATGCACGCAATAATTAAATAGAAAAAGACAAAACTGAAATAAATTAAAAATATTAATATATAAATGTATATAATAGGCAATTGCAGAAAAAACATATAAATTCCGAATAAAATTGTCAAAATCAATAGTTTCTATTATATAATATTATAATTATTATTTTGCAATTGATATAATTGCAAAAGATTAATTAATTTTCCATTAAAATTTTTCCATATTCGTGTATACAACAAATTTTGTTTTTGTGATAAAATTGGATTCTCGTCATCTTTATTTTCGTGCATATTTTTTTGTGCTTCGTCTTGTATTTCTCGTGTGGAGATTAAGAATTCCTCATCTCGATGAAAATTTCAAAGAAATTCTCCAATGTGGATTTAAGAAAGGAAAAGATTTTACGTATTTTTCGTTAATTAAAATTGTATATAAACTGAAACGAAATGCAAGATTTTTTTTTTCTGAGATCTGTATCATGAAACAGACCAACAAATTAGCTAAATGAAAACTTTACATTTAATAAAATTAAGTGGAAATATATGCACGTTATATATTCATTGTTACATTAATTATTATTAATTATAACATCGCAACAACCATAAAAATACATTCATAATTATAACAACCAAAAGTATTATCACAAATGTACATTAATTATTGCAGCTAAGTATTGTTCTTTAAGAAAGAATAAACTTTATCAATTATCATTTGGAAAACGAAACTGAAGGAAACTGAAGGAAACTGAAGGAAACTGAAGGAAACTAAAGGAAACTGAAGAAAGCTATAGGAAATATAGGAAAAATATAAATAATTTCATAAACAAGTCAATTATTTCTTTTCAAAAATCATTAATTTCTTATTTAACAAACAAAATCTATATTTAGGTGTTTTCGATCATGACTATTGCAAACAAAGCTTTATAACTAGTAATAGCTAAATTTAATTTAATAAAAGTTAAAAATATCTAAAGAATAAATGGAAAAATACAAAATAATAATTAAGGTATGATTAAATAGGAAATTTAATATTGATAATTAACATTTTCATTAAATATATTTGTTATTCATTTAAAGTATAAAAGACAAATGTAATACTGTTTTTAATATCCAAGTAAATCGTTACATTGAAATTGTAATTAAACGAGAGGTGGATTGAGTATCAGAGGTGTTCAGTTAATTTGTAGCCACAATCCCGGAATGAAATTTCCCAAAGTCGACGTTGCGTTAAGGATCGTTAATAGCGCCCGTCGTCAGATGCGCTTGATTACGTTTAATATTGCCAATTCTGATGACCAGTCGCCATTGACCAAATTTCAATTCACACGCTCCCAAGATTATAGCTTTCAACTAGCAAATCCACTCTCGAAATCGTAACGTCGACTAAGAGATAAGCCTATACCATAATACAGGAATTCCATTAAAATCTGATTGAAACAGGCTTTCTATTTGATTAATTTGTAATAATACAAGTGAAAAAAATATTGATGAAGAAATATACATTAAGCACTTCTTAATTAATATTTAAAAGTTTAGAGAAATCATAGCTATAAAATTAAATTTTAAAAAAATAACTTAAATTTCGAAAATTTTCTAAACTTTTTCTTCATTAATTTTCTGTTAATAATTATAATCATAATACATTTTTAATAAAATCAATTACATATTGAAATTTTATATTCTTAAATTTATATACCAGTGTCTATATAACAGTTTCTTATTATGTAATATCAGATTACTCTTTGTTACGAAGTAATTAAAACTTTGTAATAAATTAATTATTGATTTAAAAAATCATCGAAAAATATAATTAAATCTATCAATTTTCTTTAAAGTTCTTTAAAGAATATTTATACGTTCCTCAATTTTGTTCATAAATCTTTTATGGATAAAAAAAAATCGCTAAGAAAGAGGATTTGCAGAAAATAATATAGGTAAAATCTAAATCCATTGAAAATCGGATCAGAGATACTACGAACTTCTCTTGATTGTTAGTCAAATCCTACTGAACAGTAAAAGAATTTCTTTGAAAATGTACATAAAATGCACAAATGTGATTTTTTTTAATAAATATAATAATATTTACATAGTTTTATGTCTTTTTATTTATTAAATGACAATAAGTTTAAAAATTGAAATAAAATGATAAATGTAATTGGATGAACTTTTTTTTTAATTGTTACATGTAAAAAGATATACATTGGTTTTCAGTTATAAATATAATCCGCTTAGTAAATATCACAACTCATGCAGATTATATAATAACTAGGAAATCCTATTTTCAGTTTAATTAGTTTTAATCGTGAACATGAAACCCGCTTTAACGAATGAAAATAGTACCAAGCTTTAAATAACATGATAAAATATATACATTTTCCCTAAGTTAATATAAATATTAGATTTGTATCAATTTTAAATTAGATAATTAATATATGTATATTAAGTAGAATCGAGTAGTAAAATTTGAAAAAGCAATAATTTATTTAAATATTTTCTTAATCATCATTTATACAGATTACCATAATGTATTTTTATTTATTAATTAAAGTGAATATGTTTTTTCAAACATGTAATTAATAGTGGAATTTCTTAAGTATTAAATGTAAAATATTGATCGACTCATTAGCGAATGAAACTGGGAAAGTTTTTCTCTCAATTCAATAGACTGGTTTTAACAATAGAAAGGAAACCGGGACAAAACAGCCAATCAGGCGGAAATACTGAAGATGACAAAAATTGAAATGTAAAAGTAGTCTCAAAGCAGGATAACTGAGGTAAAACTTTCTGAAGTAGTCCACTTATTTCATAATCCGAGAAAATCTGAATTTATAGAATAATTTATTATTTAAATATATTTGTTAAAAAAAAACTAATACCTCTCATAGTGCGACTTTGATCAGTCCGGATTCACTATAGTTTAGTTTGAAAATCTTAAAACAAATTTTAGAAAATCAGTGCACAAAATTATGTTTGCCTTTTAGATATTTAAATATCTTGTTGCTTAGTGTTTTTTATTAATTTATTAACAAAATATTTTAGATTTCGTATTTTCATTATTGACAAATGTGGTACAGCGCAATACCTCGCATAGTCCAGCTTCGATCAGCCCAGATTCATTATAGTACGGTTTTAAAATGCCTAAATTTTAATTGTGTCAAATAAAAAATAAATTAAAAAATAAATGTTTCACTGCTTTATTTCTTTTATAAATAAATCAAGTCTTGTTTTGTATGGTTTTGAAGTTCTCGATTAGTCCGGTTTCAAACAGAACCAATTTCCCCGACTTAACGAGTTATTACTGTAATTTGATACAAAAAATTAACACTTCCATTTTATTTATTTTTTTGTAAGACGAATGACTTGATAACAACTACAACAAAATCCTCGATTAGTCCGGTTTCAAACAGAACCAATTGCCCGAACTAAGCGAGTAATTACTGTCATTTCATACAAAAAATAGACATTTCGATTTTATTTGTTTTTTTTGTAACACGAATGACTTGATAACAACTACGTCAAAGTACTCGATTAGTACGGTTTCAAACAGAACCAATTGCCCGAACTAAGCGAGTAGTTACTGTAATTTGATACAAAAATGGACATTTCCATTTTATTTATATTTTTGTAAGACGAATGACTTGATAACAACTGCAACAAAGTCCTCGATTAGTACGATTTAAAACACAACCAATTGACCGGACTAAGCGAGTAATTACTGTAATTTGATATAGAAAAATGGACAATTCCATTTTATTTATTTTTTGTAAGACGAATGACTTGCTAACAACTACAACAAACACGAAAGAATTTCTCAACAGAATCATTAGTTAAAAGCGCATTACCATTAATTCTAACATTCTCTTTCTCTGTTTATTTAACCCTCCGAAGGAAAGTCTTGCATCTTTAATAAAGGAAACGTAAAACAAATAAAACGTTTATTCTTCAGAACAAACGACGAGACTTCTTCCGTATCTTCCGCAATACAAATTAATATGAAAATTAGATTTGCTTTTCATCTTTATCAAATTTTCCGCAGACATTGCGAAACTAAATCCCACCCAGTAAACAAAGAAATTTCAAGCGCAATAATTACAATAACTGTACAAGTATACAAGGATAGAGAGAAAAGCGGTAAATCTGAAAATAGAGTTTGGAAAATGAAAGCTGCAAGTGGTATTGTTTTCTATAAGCGATGCATTCATTCATAAAACTTAATTAAAATCGTCCTATTTATGGATCGAATTGTCTTTCATTCTGGGTCTAATTGTCTTTGCAAATGAATTGTGCATTTTGTTCGAGCAAATTGGAGCATACTTTTTTTTTCTTGTATTCCATTCTATTTATTGTTATTGCGTCCAGCTAAATTTAGATTGTTTTGTCGCATGTTTCCGAGCTCATCCATATCCACAT